GCCGTAGAGGTTAAAAAAAAGTAAGAATTCTCTCTCAACAGAATAAATATAACTATGACTTACAAAACAAATTATGGTAGAATGGCAGACGTTAAAACAAATATTAAGAATTCCCTCAACAGAACAAATATAAATTTATTTCAGAAAACAAAATATAGTACAATCAGCAGATGACCAAAAAATTTCAACAGAATAAATATTAAACATAATTTAGAAAACAAAACATGATAGAGCTGGCAGGAGATGCGGGGGAAAAAATAGAAATTCTCTCAATAAAATAAATATTTAAAAACAAATACAACGTAAATACATTGGTTAAAGATTTTTTTCCCCTTTAATAGAAAATACGCAATAAATATTATTCACACAAACATAAAATACATATAAATACATCAATTAAAGAAATTTTTTTTCCTTAATAGAATAAATATGCAATAATATTACTCACAAAACATACAGTATATAATCAGCTTATTCTCTGTTACATTTATGCTATAATTCCCAATTCAAATTATGGGGTAAAAATTAGTGTAATTTATGTAATTGGCGCTTGTACTGATGGCTGAAAAAGTTGCAGTCAATCTTTTTCTCAAGTTTTCTGAATACGCCCATGACACAGATGCAGAAAATGGCACAGATTTAGAAACAGACTTCAGATCATTTACGATTTGCTTGGATTTAATATAATAGAAATAACGTTTAGTTAAGTGAAATGGCAAAGTACTCAAAAGAGCTACTTTATTAAAAGACAGCAACTTCTCCACATTTAAGCTTTGTCTTTTTAAAGTGGAACGTTCAAATGAATCATCACTTTCCACATTACGATTCAATGATGAATAACGCGTTACCAAAAGACGTATTTTCAAAAACTCATCAAGTATTAAACACAAAGCGCTTCGAGTGGAGGTGCATGTAGTATAAGAAATTTTAAGGCTTTTGGTTAATGCCAAACAAGTTCTGCAACTGACTGATACTGCCAAAGGTCGAACTACAAACTTCCATGATGTTGAAGAGGATTTCTGGAAAACATACCAAGATAAAGAACAAGCAGTTGTGATCACATTCCAGTTGAATTCCATCACGTCACAAAAGCGATTCCAGTTATTCTCCGACTGGTCACAAAATGTGATCCACAAACCTGGCAACGTAGAACAAGACTGTGCCCAAATTTCTGATGAAACACACTGACTGCAACACCAAGTGCATGAGCAAACTTGAAGAAAGAGGTTCCAAATGAACTGAATAACACAGCAGATGTCAGACCACAATATCGGAGCATATGGAATCAGAATCTCCCATATTACAGGTATGACGTCACACGAAAACAGCCAGCTTTTGTTACATAGAGTCTTGAACATGAACCAAGTTTCTGGAATACATAGGCAAGAAATGCACCAAAGCCTTGATGATGAAATTTCCAATACAATCCATACTTTTGGAACTAACGTGATGAAATTTAACCACATGCAAGATATTACATCTTTGAAAATTTGCCACAAAATATGAGTGACTTGGCAAATATTCTGCATAACATTACTTTTCATATCGCAAGAAAATTCATATAAAAGAACAGCAGCAGAACATGTGCAATTTAAAATACGTTCATATAACACCGACATACAAGAAATAAATTCGTCAGAATTCTCTCCTTGAAACAATGTCAAAATTTTACAATAACTTCGCATTATGATTTCTTTTATGAAATTTAGAAGATAGATTGAAATTAGTTTCGCATGCTTTTGACATTTTACAAAACCTAAATGCTTAGTTATTACTCTACTGATGATGGCAAGAATAACAGAGTTTAACAAACCTTTCCACAGCGTAGGCCATTTCTGCAAAAGCAAAATCATGTTCTTCACATTATTTAATTTACGACCTAGGAACAACAGTGAATGTATAACACCTCGGCAAACACTCTGAAGTAAGACATTTCGTGTTCCCGCAACGAGTGTTACCAACTCATATATTTCGTCGGAGTCAAGGATAACGGAACGAACTTCCATGACCACATCCGTGAATGTAGTTATGATTTCTAAATGCGCATATAGAATACTAGTACCCGTAACATATAAGGCTCTTTTAAAATCGCTTACAACTTTTGACCGTGCATTCGATGACGTTCTATGAACCACAACCAAGGCCGTAAAAGTTGCAGATGATATCTCATCTAGTGCTTGCAGGAGAATGGGCATTTCCTTAGCAATTTTGTTTGCAGCGAATTGAAGTTCACGAGAGGCAATGCAAGATGCTGCAGCAACTTCCATGAAAGCCTTATTTCCATCAGTCAGTACAACTAACAATCCTTTACGTACCACAGGATGGGCAACTAGTAATGCTTGAACTACAACTGGATATACTAGAACAATAGAATTCTTAGACGATCTGACAACTTCGCTAGTGGCTTGCAAAGTCGCTGGAGTAACAGTTCTCAAAGCACAATAAACTGAGGGTGTTGCGCATCTTATGCCATGGAATGTTTGCGTCGCAACTGTAGTACAGGTGTCGAAGATGAGCGAGTTCATTTCCAAGGTGATATACCAGAAGACGGGAGCTATTTCGACCACCATTTCGATTACATCGTTAATAATTCGATGGGAAATAACAACGATGCATCGAGATGGTCGCAGGGACATCCTAGCCATAACAGCTGTGGTTTTACACAAGGTACTTGACAATGCAACTACAGCATCAGCAAACACTGGGTAAACATTCTTAAGACAGCCAAATACATGCCGCAAACTATACATGAACTCTGCTACATACCGACACAAGTCATAGAAATAGTTAAAAACGTAAGAACAAAATTTGATAGCATGTGGTAAAACAAATTGTCCAGTCTCTTGGGCACAAACAATGGAAGACATTGTGCACAAGCTCACAGAGCTGCAAACAGGAGCTAAATGACTGATGCAAATTTTAAAATCCTGCTTTGCTATCCTAAGCAGATCAATAAGCGTTTGTTTATTGTTCTTAATTAACTTAATTAAGAAAGAAACACCTGTAAGAAGAGCATACCGTACTTGTCTGTATACATCTGGAGCAGATTCTTGAATGAAGGTCGAATAACGCTGGGAACATTCGAAAAGAATACCTTGAGCGTAAGGTATACTTTTACCGATAAGCTGGGTACATGCACGGACATTTCTCTGACAGAAAACGTGGTACAAGATGTATTTTACAACATATTTTAAGAGGCGGAGACATTTTTTAAAGAGATTAAATACTTTGCTCCCGACGCACGTGTCACTGAGCACATGATGCAGAAAAGTTACCATCCACTTCACGCACTTGAGAAAGATGAGGAAAGTGTTCTTTGCAAACATGATTAAGGTCCTAACTTCTTTAGCCACGATCATAAGAAAAGGAGGCGCATTTTTTAAGAAACTGTTGACTGCAGAGTAGTTTTGTGCACAAAAGACGCGAAATATCGGGGACAAATCCTCATAAATGAATCTGAATGCTGATATCAGAAGATTAACCACAGCTCTTAGCAACGATTCCACTGTCAAATCACCAAAAAGATGAGAGTTTCGAGCGAGGTGGACAACAAAACTTGGGTAACACTTTCGCACTCCTTCTTGTATCACTAAAGTTGCATCACGTATGTTGGCGAAAATTGGTTTCAAGTCACACTCTCGAAGCTTACGAAGATAATCAATGACATTTTCACTCTCCAACACTTTCTTCAGCTTCGGATTTCTCTTGGAAATCAGCGTTAAAAGATACGGTGTGGAAGTGCATATGATTTTCAGCGACTGCGAGCTAGAAGTTTCTATAACTATAAAACACACCCGGATGTTGTGGATTATAAGTTTCTTGAGCAAGGGACTGTATTTGCAAATCTCAGATTGATGAACTATATCGATGATATAATTTTCCATGCGATTTTCTTTCTTTTCTTTCACGAGGAAAAATGTGAAATATGAACTCCATTTTCGTGAGCGTACCTCTTCAGAGGTTCTGATTTCTTGAGCTGATGACATTCTGGAACTACGAGAAAAACGTAAGTATTTCATTTTACACCCTTTCGAAAATTACATATCGAAACAATCAACTGTCGCTGGAATTGACTTCTTAAATGGACACAAAATTCGTTATCAGAGCCCTTGAAAAGTACTTATAGTCCAACCACCAACCAAAATGAAGACTGTTGTAGAATTCTGTACAAAATATTAATTTTCTGTCTATCAACGAATCTGAAGAGATTGTTGCCAGTCTTTTAGGAATAAGATCAAGGGAAATACGTCCACTAACGAAATTGGGAAGATTGCTACAGAGTCTTTTAGGAATGTGATTACGGGAAATCCGTCTAACCGATGAAGCTGAAGAGACTGTCCCAGAGTCTTTTAGGAATACGATCACAGGAAATCCGTTCACCTACGAAGTTGAAAATAATTTACTTCATACGACTGTTGCACAGGCTTTAAGAAATGTGAATTTCTCGTCCACCAACGAAGCTAAAGACGATTTACTAATGATGCTATGAGACGACTGCATAAGAGTATCAATTCCATGTCCACCAACGAAGCTCAAGATATCACACTTGCAAAGTTAACACAGGCACAGATGAAAAAATAAAGCTAAGAGATAATTCTCAAACTTATTTCTTTAGAGAATACATTATCAAATGCACAGTCTTTTAGGAATGTTCAGATTTCAATCCAACAACAAAATCGAAGATGGGTCTTCAATACTGTAATAGCAGTTGAAAATTTCAGCTCCGAATTACTTTTTCAACAGTAGCAACTTGATGATATGCATGCTGAAATACCATTTAGAACTCCAAAACACTAGATTTTAAAGGCCAAAAGCATTAGCAAAACAGTAAATCATACTATGAGGTGATCAGTACAAAGTCACAAGCGGAAAAGAATTCATTCAATAAATGATCAAAGTATATAGGATCCTACACGGATAAGAGATTGTCAAACACTTCTACGTCAGAGTTCACTTGCATCGGATGTTTACAATCCTATGAACAAAGTCCAAGAGCAATCCATGTAGCTTTTATCTCTTCCACAATAATTTTGTGCGTGACAAATACATATCTATCTACAATGGCAAAAAAATTTTACAAACTTCTAAAAATAATTGAGATAAGAAATCAAAAAGGCCTCGCTGTTACTTTAATTAGAAAAGGCCAGCAAGTCCAAACTGCAAAGTTTGACATCATTCTGTGGAACACAGCTGATAAAGTCCGATTTGTTCAGAATCTGCTGAAAGAATACCTGAAATTCAAATATGACGTATATTACATACGTTTTTATTTTATCGGATGATGTTAGGAACAATACAATAGCGTTCGAAGGTTAAAACACGTACATGATATTTTTTTTATTCAAGAGGAAATTCGTAATTGCTTCTGAAAAGTGAAAGTTTAATAACTCAGGAGATCATTATCAGATGTTTCGAGGAAATTTCTAACTTTCAATAGTTACAGGAAAATCAATGAAAAGAATATTAAACACCTAAATGATTGACGAAACAATAAACTTCGCAATTATTTTTTACCGTTATAAAAATTGAAAAATAATATAAATTTAAAACTGACGCCAGCGTGACGAGAGAAAAGTTGAATGAAAGTTAACGCCTTATCTTAACATTCGGAGAAGAGTGATAATAATACTAATAAATAGATAATAAATACAAATAATATAATAATAAATACAAACTGAATTTAAAAATTAAATAAACTTAAGTGAAGATACTAAAAAAAAGAACTTTCTCAAAACTGAACAGTTAGCCTAGTCTATGCAAGTTATAATATAAGAAATAGTATAATAGCATAATGATTATAGTACAATAGTCTAACAAAATAAGTAGCAGTATAAGAAAGTAATAATAGGTCTTAAAATGTTTGTCTTTTTTCCTTTTTGGTACTTTTATTCTATGGGAAAAAAAAAAAAAAAAAAAAAAAAAAAACTTTTTTTTTATATTGTTTGGTTTGTTCATCGGTAACACTAAAATTAAATTTGAAAGAAAAATATCTTACACTTTCTCAACTGACAACTGGATGGCGCACGGAAGAAAAAACATTTCATTTCGGGCAATGTCAACAAATTTCTTTTAAATCATGTAGTTTTCTATTAAATTTGAAACAAAAATATCACATGCTTTATCAAGTGACAACGCAAAGCCTTTTAATCTCTGAATTTTTAATCAAACTTTCCTTAAAAACACGAAATAAATTAAAAACAAATTATAGCATTAAAATTAGGGCAGATATCAAGCATTCATCAATAGCAGGCAGACTGAACTTGAAAGATAGTAAATATCATACATTTTTCGGAATGGCAACACACTCCAATGAAAAGTGATATAACGCGTTACGGTGAAACAGCATAAAATCACGTTTCGAGACTACTAGCCCTTTTGGGCTAAAAATCTCTGAAAAGAAAGGAAAAAATTAATTTTTTATATAAATTAAGTATTTCTTAAAATGTACACATTGTAAAATAATGGAAGGATTTCATTCCTTTTCATTATTTAATCATTACGAAAAAGTGAAAAGAAGACACTGTAAATAGCGGAAGAATTTCATTTGGTTGTGTAAATTAAATCAATAGTTCAAAACACAAGGAACACACTGTATATAAGATAACGGAAGAATTTCATTTAGATAAAATCATTAATTCAAAACAAAAGGAAACACACTGTACATAAGGGAAGAATTTTATTTGGTTCTATAAATTAAATCAATAGTCCGAAACAAAAGGAACACACTGTGCATAATGAATGAATTTCATTTGGATTAAATAAATAACTCCAAACAAAAGGAATATAGCGGAAGAATTTCATTTGGATTAAATCAATAATCCAAAACAACAGAAACACACTGTAAGTAGCGGAAAAATTTCATTTGGTTCCGTAAATTAAATCATTAATTCAACATAGTGTAAATGTCGAAGTATGGGGTAGAGCCGGATTATTTGACATATACAAATGAAATGGATTATATAGAAATTAAAGTATACTGCTGTGGGCAAAAACAACATGCTCAATTATTTTTTTTTAACTAATACATACTTAATCGGAACTATATCCGGCATTGACTCTATATCCGGGATTACTTACTTATGACTATCATGCTTTTAAAACGAAAACATTCTTAATAATTCAAATTATATTCTACAAGCGAGGAAAAGAAAGAAAAGGAAGAAAGAATTTCTCCGAATTCGTAGAAGATGGCTAGTCCTTTCAAATAACCATTCACCACAATCCTCAATCAGCAAAGCACCACCAACCACGTCAACAAAAGCGCCGGAAAAGCTTTGTAGTACAGATAGGAGACAAATAGAAAAAAGGACCCAACCTGCAGGTATTGTTCGACCCCCATCCCGGTAAACGACTTTTTCCGGTCTACACCTGTGTACCCACTTCCGTTCTTGACAGAAGTAACGAGCGTAGAAAATGGAAAATGAATTGGTTAAACTCAAAGTTATCCCTCGGATTGGATCGGGATTGGTGAAAGACTAATGCATCGCAATTTAGTGAGAGGCAAAGAAATGCAGATTATTTCTAGACACATTCGTTATCCAAAACGATAAATACTTCCTCCGACAAGCCAGCATCTCTTAAATAAATGTCATAAAATAACTCCCAGACTGATCGCAAAGCTACTTCATAATCCAGCATAAGAGATTTAGCACTTCACTAAGCATCTGGTTAATAGTTAAAATCGTTACAGAATTAATAGCTCGTAATTTTGAGAATCATTAGACAGTTATATAATTATAGTACATTGTATAATTATGGACTGTTCAGTTAGAAAGTTAATAGTTTAATAATAATTAAACAGTTAATAGTTACAGTTAGAAAATTAACACAATTAACAATTAATAAATTTGAAAAACATTAGACAAGTATTAACCATTTTGGGAACAACTGGAAAATACATACTTTTGAGATAATTAATAATTATACAATTCGCATTTGCTTTATAATAGGTAACAGAGAATTAAAATAGGCGATTAATAGTTTGTAACTTTGAGAACTGTTAACAGTTTTGAGACAATTACTAATTAGATAATTAATAGTTTTATTATAGTAATACTTTTTAGAGTAGTTAGACATAGCTATAACATAGTTAAACGTAGTTTTAACACAGTTATTATAAAAAATAAAATTATATATGTAATGATTTTAATGAGTCCAACTGATGTATTTTCTCGAAAACATTTAATTATTTTAATTCCTCGCTTATCCCCCCCCCTTTTAACTAATTTTATCGTTCAAAACCCAAGAGGGAAAAATTAGGACAATTATTTAATTCCCGAAGGACGCGGTTACAGTCAGATCATAACAAATGAAAGACAGTCATGCATAAACTGTAGGTTAAGTATCACAATATTATTTCTTTCAAAGAAAACTACATTCCTATAAGGATACATAGTAAAATTGACATTACAATATCTGGAAAAACGATAGTATCTTAAGTGGCAATAGAAAATATTTTTTTATTACACTTTACTATATGTTTTCATTGCATTTATATAAAAAAAAAATGTATTACACTCTAAACTCACTTTTTGTCCATATGATTTCTCCATATGTTTAATTCTTTAAATTACTGCCACCAAACGTATTATTTAAAACAAATTAAATAACGAAGAATCAGTATTATATTCTTATTTTCCTCGCATTATGGAAAAATGACGGCACACACAGAGCCACCGAATTTTTAAGACATAGTCCTCTACCCAAACATGGCACCTCGAAGACTGGATATTGCATTTTTTTAAAATTTACTTCATATTTTGTACAAATTTTTATGAATTTTTGTTTAACAAGCTTAGCGATATAAAAACGCGCAGTGGCAATATTGTTCGAAATAAAACATTTTTATCTCCAGCACGCGAGGTTGTTGCCATTCGGCAAAATATAAGATATATTTATCTTCCAATTTTAATCAACAAACTTTTACATATTAATTAATGGTAAAATAAAATTAAAAAAATTGACAAAACAAAAAGATGAATTTCCTCAAACAAAAAATTTTTATTCTGCGAAATAATTTTCATATCACTATATATATATATATATATATATATTTGAGAAAATTTATCTTTTTGTTTGGGTAAAATTTTTATAAGGTTTTAGCATTATTTAAAACCGTATATCCTGGCTCTTTTCCCCCTAGCTTCTTAGTGTCTAGTTCTGAAAATTTTAAAAATCTTTGCATTATTTCCCCCTTCCAGAGAACGTCTCTAAATTTTAAAATAGATTCGTCTACAGAGTGACGGTTTTTCGTCTTATAACAAATATAAACTCTTGCAAATTACTCTGCGAAGGTCACGCTGAACCTTCTCCTTCTGGCTGCTGTGTTTTATGAAACCCGACAAAAATCGACAATGACAGCGAAGCAAATATAAATGGACATTCGGTCGATGATTTTGCAAAGACAACTGCACATTCACCTTCTCTAGTTATTTATAGATGATTCGAGGCCTAAGGAATGGCCCACACAACAATACGAATGGAAACAGAAACGAAGATATCGCATTATATACGTAGTGTAATGTTAATATTACTATGTATTTTCATTGGAATGGAGGCTTCTTTTAAAGAAATAATACTGTGATATTTTGCAGCAGTTTATCCATGTTTTGTCATTTTTCATTTGTTTTGTTCTCACTGCAACCGCATCCATTGGAAATTAAATAAATCGCCTAATTTTCCCCTCTCGATTTTCGAACGGAAAGGACGGAAAATACGCGAGGAAATAAGGTTTATAAAAATGTATTATTGATAATAATTTATTATTAGTTACTATAAAAAAGTGAGCTATGATTTATACAGTGCGACATAATTTTTTATCACAGCATAAATTTTTTCTAAAGAAATTTATCTCCGCATTCCATTGCCTCTTGAATGAAAATATAACGCTCACCACAAACATTTTTCATACGACGTGAACGAAATATTCATTTCATTTTTCAGCAGCTCTCTTAGCATAAACCAGTTCTGTTTCATCTTAACTCCTCACTTTCAGTCTTTCTATAGATATTAACGATTTGAAAGTCCTGTTTTCGTATGCATAATTAAGCAAAGCGCTGATTTAAAACGCCTTGATATGTAGGGCAGTGTTTTCAAACTCTAATTGCATGCGGGCCAAATGCACGATATGAAAACAGGAGATGGGACAATCCCCCCCCCTTTCTAGCAAAATAAAAAATATTTAACATTTCAAATTTCGCTTATTAAATTTTCAATAAAACATACCTCAAAA